AGGATTCATGTCTGGGGGATGTTATCTTAATCCCTGAATAGAGATAAGTTTACGCCTAACACGCGTTGTCGGTTAGTCTTTTCTCGTAAAAAGGACGAAGCCTATATATTCAATATCATAGCACTAGCTCTAAGAGAGTTCATTCTCATATCATAACGTCACATCTGAAACGGATTTAGATAATTCATATGCAAGCCCGATTCAAACGGTAATCGGTAAAGACATATCAAATCTATTGATGGCTGATGGTTTGCTAAAAATCCTAAATTCTGCACCTAACACATGTTGCCGGATAGTCTATTCCCGTGACAAATAACAAAATCTATGTATTCAATATCATAGCATCAAATCTAAGAGAGTTTATTCTTTTAGCATACAGTCACCTGCGGAACGGACTTAAATAATTTGCATGCTAGCTCGACTCAAACGGTAGTCGGTAAAGGCTCGTCAAACCTGTTTATGACTAAGGGTTTGCCAAAAATCCTATAAGTATTATGGTTATTTATTCTAAATAGAATGAGTAATCGTAATAAGATATAAAAGTCACTGACGCACCAACTTCACTAGTCGGTCTCGTGACTCGAACTCTAAGGAGTATATGAGTATAAACTATTCCTCCCCGCTCTAACACCTTAAGAGCTTAAATTGTGTAGACTCCAGTTAACGTATAAGTGTAAATTGTGTTCACGTCGGTCAACACGTTATGACGAAGGTCAAACGCCAGTCCACGTGTTGCAATGAAGGTCAATGCGGGTCAACCCATTGCCATGAAGGTCAGCACCAACCAACACATTGATAATTTCGCTAAAATAAGGCTCAGATCAATTCCAGGTCAAAAGATAATACCCCGGGAGCTCAACCGCGATTCAAATACAAACTTTCAACGAAGATGATCAGTTCAACATCGATTCAATAACACGAGCTAATTCAGATACCAACATGCCAATCTCAGTTCGAGATTTCATCACGGTCAGAGGATAAACATAGCACCGGAAGAATTTTAGCTATTCGACAAAATACTGAATAGACTGAAAGTGAAGAAGTCGACGAATTGAAGGTTGAGCGTATCATATCCAAAGTATTCCAGACTCCTCTATAAAAGAATGAGATTGAAACACTTTGGACGAGATATCTGTAGGCATCAAAAATTACCAATAGGTCCCCGAACACAGCTAAAGACGATGATCCGTCAAGCAACAAACCGTCAAACGACGTGGCGACGAGCTATCGAAATAACAAAGTGGTGAACCGTTGATGATGTAGCAACAAGCCACCAGAATGGCAAAGCAAGGGAACACACGCTCATCAACCACCTCCAAGTGGCCCGTGCATTCACCGGCCACCTCCAAGTAGCCTACGCGCTTACCGG